TTGCATATCTCGCTGATTAGCCAATGGGAGGCGTAGTGAAGGTATGGTCAATCACCATGTTTGTCTATTATTAGATAGGATAGATAGTATTCCATTGTGTAAATATATCATAGTTTTTTTATCCACTCATCTACTGATAGACATTTAGGCTGTTTCCAGATCTTAGCTATTGCAAATAACACTGTTATGAACATAAGGGTGCATATATTCTTTTGAATTAGTGTTTCTTGGGATATATTCCCAGAAGTGGGATCATTGGGTCAACAAGTAGTTCATTTTTAATTTTTTAAGGATCCTATATATTGTTTTCCATAATGGTTGCACCAGTCTACATTCCAACCATCAGTGTACTGGAGTTCTCTTTTCTCCTCTTTCTTGCTAGCACTGATTGTTTGTTGATTTATTGATGGTAGCCATGCTGGCAGGTGTGAGGTGATAGCTCATTGTGTTTTTAATTTGCGTCTTTCTGATGATTAATGATGTTGAGCATTTTTTTATATGTCTATTGGCCAAAAGTTTTACAGGGTAAGGCATTGGTAATTACCCAGTGGCTGGCCTGGCCAGCTTATTTCTTAAGAGTTCAGAAATGAGAAAAATACAAGAATCTAAGAGAATAGGATGGCTCAGGAGAGAGGTGACATTTATACAGGATTGACAAGAATTTGATAGAAGCAATAGTCTATACTTGCTGTTATGGCTTTATTTGGATAAAATGTAAGTTTAGTGAGTGGCTAGTTAGAAGCATAGTTTAGACTTTCCCCCCCATTAAATTGGATTATCTCAATAAAATAGAGAATATTATAGAATTTTCTGAGTTTTTAAATAAAAAGTTAGCAGTCATTCTTGGACTTCTCACTATAACCGTGCTAGTGGCATGTAAGAACTAGACCTCAGGAAGATCTGAGTCTGAGATGGTTAATATTATGGGTCCAATTGGCTAGATCAGCGGTCGGCAAACTCATTAGTCAACAGAGCCAAATATCAACAGTACAATGATTGAAATTTCTTTTGAGAGCCAAATTTTTTAAATTTAAACTAAATAGGTAGGTACATTGTTATTAACTTAATTAGGGTACTCCTAAGCTGGCCTTTGCTAAAAACGTTCTCAATCTGATTGAGGTACGTTTGCTGAGGTTGATCCCTTCCAACTCTCCCATCCACACTCGCCTTGTATACTTGTTTCATCTATCTTTTGTCACCCACGCGCGATTTGTGGACGCAACTAGCACTAACCACTGCACAATGAGACTGCTGACTGACTGGCTCACTCAACTCGTGCATGAATCGCGTGTGCCTTCCCCGTGCTACATATCCTGAGGCCCGACCGACCAACACCCCCCACTTCTTCTAACGCCACTTCTTCAAAATAGACTTACCCAGGCCAAAAACTGACTTCGGCGCATGGGCCACGAAGTTTCAATAGCACTATACGTGCAAGCCCGCATGTGGTATTTTGTGGAAGAGCCACACTCAAGGGGCCAAAGATCCGCATGTGGCTCGCGAGCTGTGGTTTGCCGACCACTGGGCTAGACCATAGTGGTCAAACATTATTCTGGATGAGGGGGCTTTTGGATGAAATTAACATTTAAATCTGTGGACTTTGAGTGAAGTAGATTGCTCTCCACAATGTAAGTAGGCCTCTCCCATCAGCTGAAGGCCTGAATAAACAAAAGAATGACCTCCACTGAGCAAGAGTGAATTCTGACAGATAGCCTTTTGGATTTGAACTTCAACATCAGCTCTGCCCTGAGCCTATAGCCTGAGACCCACACTGCAGACATTGGACTTGCCAGGCTCCACAGCTACGTGAACCAATTTCTTAAAATCTCTCTCTCTCTCTCTCTCTCTCAGTTCTATTTCTCTAGAAAGCCCTGAATAATACAGAGTTCATTACAAAAATTCAGAAAATGTTTTATGAGTTAATCAACTAAAACAAAGGAGAAATGGTAATATACTATTTTTTATATCAAGACACTCGAGTAAAAGCATTGCGTACTGCATAGTAACAGAAAGTCTTTTGTGCAAACATAATGACCGAGCCAGAGAAACTTCCCTCAGAACATTCATATCCAGAGTATGTGGACATCACTGTAGATTGTCTGTGACCTCTTCTCTTGCTTGTGGAAAAAGAGGCCAGGATTTATTTAAAGTTCTGACCTGACTCCATTCTTTTGCTTAACCCACTCCAGTAACTTCTCCTCACATTCAGGGAAGTCCAAGCTTCTCAGCAGGGCCTGCAGGGCCTTCTGCTCCAGCCGTCTTTCAGCTTTCTCCTCACTCTTTACAATCTGGCAATGCCAAGCCACTCAGGGGCTCTGGCATACTTGGGCTGTTCCGTGCCTTCTGGGTCCCTGCACAGCCTTGTAGCACTGAGAGAGGGCAGTAAACCAGGCCAGTAAGTGGAATAGGGAGATGGAGACAGATAGCTGAACAAGCTGGCTAAGCAATTTACAGCCAGATACAGAAGGTCACTTCCCTAGAGGTAACGTTTAGGCCTCAGTTATATTTCAGTTTCAGGCCCAGAAAAGCAGCAAAACCAGGTGCCTGGTCAATCCCAGGACTAGCTGCAATCTAATGAGTGACCCCCCCTTCCCTGGCACTGACCAATCAGTAAAGACCACAACCTTGAAAGACCACACCTGGAAAATTGATAAAAATTCTGCTAAAACTCTCCCCTGAAACCTCTCCTAAGGTTCCCACCTGTAAGAGAGAGATAAAACCCTAAAGACAAAGGACCCAGCAGGACCCAGCATGTGCTCTCCCTCTTCCCCCACAGGCACGCATCTCCTAAACTCTAAGGGTCCCCATGAGACTTGCAACCAGGGGAGCAATGGGCAACAGGAGCTTGTCCCAGGCTTATACCCTGAACCTGTCTCCAAGTCCCCCTTTTCCCTGACTTCACGGTGAGCTAAAGTAGCCCAGCCTGGGCTCTCCTGTTGCTTCTTCTATGCTAAGCCCTACCTTGTTTCACTGTCCCCAGCTTTAATACTCACCTAGATTCATGTTGTGAAATCTTTCCTATATGAATTCAAGAACCTGCACACTACAAGACAGCCCTGGGCAGACCCACTAGGGCCAGGTCCCCTTTTTGGTAATAGCGACCTCTCCCTCTTCACCTGGCTACCTCCCAAGCATCTGGGAGAACTCAGCTAAGACATTTCCTCTTCTAGAACAACCTCCCCAAGCTCCCATCATACCCAGGGTGTTGCCCTTAATGTCATATGCAGCTGGTACTAGTGCATAGTTGGTATTTATGGATGGAAAGAAAAAAAAAGAAAAGAAAAAAAAACACCTACTTTATCATTGAAAGGGATTGCTTCAAGCAATACAAATTCAAAGGCAGGAGGCCTCCTGCCCTGTGCTATAGTGCTTATAATAAAATACACCTGTCCCCCAAATTCATTTTAAAGCAGAAATAAATGATAAAAAGAATGAAGATCAGAATAGCAGTAAGACAGAGGAGTAAGACCTTAGGTTCGTGTGGCTTTAAAATTTATAAATTATTGTGAGAAGTATTATTCATTTTACAGCCTGGTGAGGTAGGTGCTAGGAAACTCATTTTACAGACAAAGAAACAGGCTCAGAGAAGTCTGCTTGACCCCAAGGGCCCCCAGGGAGGAAGTACAAGGAGCTCTCCATTCAGTGTGAACCCCACCACTTTACAGCTTACCCAGGAGGAGACAAATAAGACAAGATATTAATAAGAATTCACTTTTAAATTCTACATACTCACTGCTCTATTTTAAGAAATGCATTTCTCTTAAATTATGCTATAGTAATTAGCTCTCCAATTCCAGACCTAGTTATTGGGTGTTACTTTCTTAATTTAGATGTCACTACTAAGTCCTAACTTAGATTCATTCCTTTTAATAACATTGACAGAAGTCTATGCCTTCTACTGTGTTCCACCATTCATTGCTATAAAATTTGAGAGCCCAACATATGTTCTATTCCGTTATATGGATAAGACTCAACTTTCAGAACATGCTGGTTTAGGTCCTCATTTTAAAGAAATTCCCTGCATATCTACTTGGAATCCTTTGATGCCTATTCTATGTCCTTTGGCAACTCCTTTTGTTCCACTTCACTGTTCCCTGAAGATCCTATATTAGAACAACCCTTTAAGGATAAGGAATGGTGTAAATCAGTGGTCGCCAACTGGTGGTCCGTAGACCACTGGTGGTCCCTGCGGCCTGAAAAGTTGGCAACCGCTGGTGTAAATTACTTTCTAAACATGCTGCCAGCAGTCTCACCTAATGTTTCCTCTTTGCATCCAAGGGGGAAATATCTGTGTCCTAACCTGGAGGCATTCAATATTACTAAGCACCTACTATGTGTCAAATTATCAGCTAGTTGCCAAGAATATAAAGATAAAAACCTTCCACATTCTGGGAAAACTCTAACACATATGGGGTGAGACAGTTTCCTCTGCATGGGCAGAAGAATTACAAAACACGATGGACCTACCATATGGAGAGGAAGATCACAAACTCGCCTGCCGGCTCCTGTTCCCAAGGACACTTTTCACTCTCCTGTCCCCTCCTAATTCCTGTGCGGGATGATCCGCCTGGGAGCATGAAATTGTCTCAGGAACTCTGGTTCTGGTTCTACCTACACGAGACTCCCTGTGACTTTGTCTTCTTGCTTGGTTCCTACTTATTGCAAACATCCGTGACAACTTTGCCCTCTTTTGCTTAAACTAAAAGTTATGAATAAATGAAACTTCGCCATTGAAAATCTGACAATGTCTCTTTCTCTTCTATCTACTCCCCTTGTGTTCCTCTCCTCACATACACAAGACAGTGCTTAAGAAAGCCATATGAATCCATCAAAGCAAGATATCCATATTACTGGAAGCACATCTTGCTTTCCACATCTGGTTCCCCAGCCTCTGCACTGCTTCCGTAGGGCTGAGCCTCACAGAACTGACCCGCGTCTCCATGGCGACGCGTCACAAAGCATCCGAGCGCCTGCAGCAAGCGATCCAGCTGGAACGAGGGCCGTGACGACTCCCCGTTGAGGCAGGAATGGCGGCCCTGACAAGTGCCTGTTGAGAGAGGAATGGAACAGCCTGGGCCAGAGGCCCCCTCCCCCTCCCAATGTGGCCGCAAGATTCGGCCTGGTAAGATTGTGGACCCTGCCAGGCAGCGGGGGCGGGAGGATCTTTCCTGGAGATGGGGAGCAAAGGCTGCTTTGGTCTTTAAGGGTGTCAGTCTCTCCCTCATGGGGGGGACTCAATTTAAGGAGAGGCTGGGAGGGAAAATGAGAGGGTGTTCATGACTTTGCCACTATCCAACCCATCAGCATTCTTTCTGCCAATCCCTTCTTAAAATGCTCAGCATATTCCCATAAAATGCTTGGCTGGGGGATGAGGCAGGGAAAAGGAGGAACTAGTGCTTTTCCAGGAGGAAAAAACCCAAAGGCAAAGCAGGAAGAAAGGTCGGGAAGCTCTGAAGACAGCAGGCCCAGCAGGAATCCCTATTCCCTGAGAAACAGTACAGAGAGTGGGGAGGTGCAGAATTCGGACACAGTCCCTAAGGGGATAAACACAGCCCCCAAGGGGATTCACAGTCTCCCTCCTCTTCTTTCCCCTCCCCCCTTCCACACACAGGTGGTTGTAGCAGAGGCTGAGAACTATGGCCTTCAGCTGTTGCTTGTAACCTTTGCTAATTTTTCTTTCCAAGTGATTTTGTATTTAACAGATGTAGTGCTTTTAAAACTAATTTTGCATGCAAATACGGCAAATTTACTAACTCAGCTTTTTGCATCAGTGGAGGGAGAGCCACTCTAGCTGTGATGCTGGTGGCATGAATTACTGTGTAGTCAGTTCCATTCTGGCCCTTATGGCAGTAACACCCCTTTGCAGCCTTCTAACTGGGTAATTGTGGTTCCACAATGGCTACAGAGCAATGAGCATTGTTCAACTGCAAATTCCCTAGAATCATAGTCCCATGAGAATGAATGAAATCTGTTTTCCATTCCTCTCAACCTCTTTTTAAATTGAGGATAGAAAATGAAAATAATTAAGAACAAAAATATGTGAGATACCCAGTTTCTATATGATGTCAGGGCAAAGAGGAGGCACCCTGTCTAGGTTTCTTTCACTGTCTTCTCTTCCCTTCTTGTTGGGAAATGTTGGCATCCTCCAGATATACCCTTCTTGGTTTACTTCCTCTGTGAGCGGCCATCCCTGCCACAAGGCTTCAAGTCCACAGGCTTTCTAGTATTTACTCTAACTGGGATGTTCCTCCTACTTTTCAAACTAAAATATTCAGCTGTCTACCAGATCCACTTGGAGGTCATGAAGGGTCTCAAACTCAGCATGCACAAGATTATTCTCCTGTCCTCCTAGACTTTGTGAGCTTGTTAAGAGGGTCCCAACTGCTCAGAATAGAAGGAAGGCCAGCTTTTTTGACACCTTGATCACCAGGCCTCATTCGTTCTGCTCCAAAGTTCCCTTCTCCTGGGTGAGTTTCCTGTTCACATTCAGACTGGGCTCTCTCATAGCCACTTGTGCTACTCCATCTTCCCTTCCAGAAGTGGCACCCTTCAAAAGGTGGGCCTGTTGTGTCACTGCCAGCTTTGTCCCCAGGTAGCATGAGGTTGAGGATGACTGCTATGGTCTAACTACTGTTGAGCTATTACTATAGAGCAGTGGTTTTCAACCTTCCTAATGCCGAGACCCTTTTATACAGTTCCTCATGTGGTGACCCCCAATTTCATTGTTACAAATTGAACATAACTAAAGCATAGTGATTAATCACAAAAGCAATATGTAATTATATATGTGTTTTCCGATGGTCTTAGGCGACCCCTGTGAAAGGGACATTTGACCCCCAAAGGGGTCGCAACCCACAGGTTGAGAACCCCTGCTATAGATTGAGCTCTTAAGTGTTTTGTTACTTCCAAGGACAGCCATAAATTACCACAAACTGATGACTTATCAGCAAAAGAAATGTATTCTCTCACATTCTGGAGGCCCAGGAGCCCAAAATTAAGGTGTTGGAGAACTGCACTGCCTCTGGTGTCTCTAGGGGAGAAGCCGTCCTTGCCTTTTCCAGCCTCTGGTGCCTGTCAGCCTTTTTTGGAGGTTCCACTCAAATGATGACTTCTTTGAAGAGCAGCACCTTCTCACAATTTCTTCCCACTTATTTGTCCATGCTTAAAATTCTCTTAACTTAGGGTATTTAATTCTGCTGTTGGGATAAAATGCTTTAAAGCATAAAATGATTCCCACAAAAGCAGGGGTATCAAAGAATAAGGTCATTTCTCATAGAATGGGATCTGAGCATGGATACCAGGAGTCTGTGTGAGCAGACATGGAATGTGACATGTAGGGCTAAGGTTTTAGTTGGCTGGGGAAGCCTCTAGGTGGAGATGAAACTCAAGCTGTATGAAGGCAGCAGGTAAATAGTCACATGAGACCCATTTGGATGTCATGGGTCCCGCTGCCCGGCTGGTTCCATGGGCCTGTTCAATTAAACACAAGCCCTGGTTGGGAGAGATGGGGTGGTGAACAATACGAAGTACACAGGTGGCCAAAATGAAATGTTGGGTCAGGACTCTGTAAGCTCAGCAGTGGCATACAGATTTTAAGAATATTTGAAAATTTAAGAGGTAGTTGAGAAAGATCCTTGGCAGCCATTGTATTTAGGTGGAATGAGTGGGAGCAAACACACACTATGAAGTGGCTATAGTATTCTAGAGGTGAGGTGATAGACCCCAGACAGTGGTTTATTCAAACATTAAAGGCCGCATTTCAACCCAGTTTCTCCTGAAATGTAAAAAGCAACAGGTAAGTGGCCAAATATGAAGAATGAGAGAAGGACTGAATTAAATTTAAAATATATTTTCCCAAGAAATTTGGTGGTGGCTTGTTGACAATGGGCAGGTAGGGCAGATAAATTCTGTTGTTGCTAGTGTCTGCTGAATGCTGAATTCTCAGTCCTCGTCTTCCTGGATCCAGCCAACAGCATTTGATACGTGACCCCTTCCTCCTGTGAATACTTTCTTCCTTTGGGGTTCAGGACATTACACGCTCCTGGTTTTCCTCTTACTCACCGACCTCTCTTCTCAGTGTCCTTTCCTGGCTGCTCCTCCTCTCCCGACCTCTTGATATTGGCACGCCCCAGGCTTCATCTCCTCTAATTATGCTTCCTTCTTTGTGGATCTCACCCACTCTCAGAGTTTTAAACACCTATACCACAGAATCTTGCACAGTCATTATTAAGAATGAATTAGAGTTACACTGGCCAAGTTTGAAGAGTTTCCCGTACTACACTGTTATATGACAGAGAAAAGGACACTTCGTGGGAATATGAGCCCACTTTTTAAACTTTTTAATTGAATTTATTGGGGTGACATTAGTTAATTATATAGATTTCAGAAGCCCATTTTTTTAAATATTGGTGAAAACTAAAACCTCATACGTCAATGAATTTATACATGTATATGTAAACCAGTATATGATTATATGAGCAGGTATAAAAGTCTGTAAAGAAACGGACATGGGCTACCTAGGAGGAGGGATGGGGAGGCAAGTGATAATAAGCAGGGAGAAGAAGGAACAAGGAGAAAGTTCCACACTGAAACCTGAAATACAAACTCTGAGCCCCTTTGTGCATATTCATTTCACGTGTTTATAGCTTTGTCTAATGTGATGTATGAAAAGTTGGTCAGTAAATCGGAAATTGTGAGCATTTTAAGATGTAGAATTTCAAATAAACTTTCTGCTTTATATTTTTATGTATTGCTTAACGGTTTTAAAAAAGCATGTATGAATTCTCAAGAAAAACAATAGACCTATTTTTATTTAGGGAGAAAACTCAGATAATTAAATTGAGCTTTGTCTCTTAATAGAGGCCACAGATTGGCTTTTATTCCTTTAGACTAAAAATTACCATCCAAATGTAATTGTCTTGCAAAATTGCTTTAATTATAAAACAACATTTTATCAATATATATTGGTCTGACCCATTTAAAAGTGTTTTATTTTACATTTGGCAGGTAATACCCACTGGGACTCCTATGCTACCACGATGAAGACTGCATTCACGCCTAAGACAGGAGCAATACCTGCTTTAATTCGGTACATTCCTACTTGAGTCACACTTTAATTTGTTCATTTATATTCTACTAGGGGCCCAGTGCACGAATTCATGTACCTTGAAAGGAACTGTGGGCCACGAGGCTGGAGTAGGCACAGGGGCGGGTCTTGGCCCATCTTCCACGCCCCCTCCTGGCCCCTCCTGCTGTCTGCCGTCAGCCCCAGCTCCCACTGCTGTCACTCCCATATGTTGATGGCGCTGGCCCTGCTCACACCCGCTGAAGGTTCTGAGTGATTGGGGCTGGCGCCAGCAGTAGGTGCAAGTGGGGCTGGCGCCAACAGCGGGTGCGAGCAGCAGCTGCTGCTGCCCTGATCGCCCCTCAAGAGGAGGGGGAGGTGGAGAAGCCCTCGGGGGCGATCAAGGCCAGCAGCCGCCGCTCACACTTGCTGATGGCACCAAGTGATCGAGACCAGCGCCGGGCACTGGCAGCGGGTGCGAATAGTGGCTCCAGACCAGCTGCGGGTACGAGTAGGGCCGTTGCTTGCAGCAGGTGCGAGAGGCAGCTGCCGGCCCTGATCTCCCCTCAAGAGCAGAAGCCCTGAGGAGCGATAGGGGCTGGCAGTCACTGCTCACACCCGCTGATGGCGCCGGGCAATCAGGGCTGGCACAGGGCACCGGCAGTGGGTGCAAGCGGGGCTAGCGCTGGCAGCAGGCACAAGTGCCAGCCGGGACCACGGCACGCAGGAGCAAAAAATTTTCAGTAACCACCAGAGGCTCACCCTGAAAACAGAGACTGTAGCCCCTTCTTGGTCTGGTGCCTCCCACTCACCTGCTCCACCATCCCTCTGGGGCCAATGCCCACCATGTTCCACGCACGCCCCCTGGTGGTCAGTGCATGTCATAGTGATCGATTGTTCTGCCGTTTGGTCTATTTACATATTAGCCTTTTATTATATAGGACTATTCAGAATTCAAAACAAATAGCAAGAATAACCAGAGAGAGCTTATGAAAGGTGCACTCAGGTAGGACCAACTGCATGCACAGTTCTCCAAGCATCTGAGAGTGAGAGTCCCCCTTCAAACAGTCTCTAAAACTCCAGCAGGAAAACTAAGAAAAAAGACCCAGAGATTCTTCATCAAGTTACTGTGTGTCATGGCTTACAATAGAGCCATGAGTATTCTAATAGAATTGTGCTGCCTAAACACTGAGAATTAATTGAATCTATTACCTGAGTTATAGTGGGCAGGCAATGACAACTGAATGAACGAATGAATAACTAATTGTTAGCATTTCTATCAGCACTAGTGCCACAGACCCCTTACTCTTACCTTCACTGCTCCACTTTTTGCTTCCTAAAGCAATGTTGGCTGGCAACTTCTCCAATTCCACCTGAATTGTGAGTGGGATAATTTCCAACTTCACTGCTGCCTTTCTGAGCTCTCTGGTGGATGAGTGAGAGTGGGACTAGAAAAGCCCTGGCATCTTTCATGGCATCAGTGGTGGGTGGGAAATTAACAAGGAGACGCTTGACTTGCCTGTGTTTACTCTGCGAATTGTTTTCAATAAAGAGGATCTTTTCACCTTAAAAGCTCAAATTATTGAGAAGTCAGATGAGTATTGGCAAGACCATGGCTGTGGAGTCAGGCAGAAATGAATTCTAACCTCAGCTCTCTGCTCTAACTAGTATTATCACCACTACCCAGGCAAGTAGCAAGCCATCTGTGGCTCAGTGTTATGGTTGGCGGTGGTTCTGAGAACAGAATGAAAGCACTAGCACAGTGACTAGAGTGAAGAAGTTCCTCAAGGCTGCAAGACTTGACTTATGAGTTATTGGCTATCCCACTGAGTCCCATTATGTCCCTTCCATTATGACCCTTCACTGGGAGATTTATCTTCTGACAGTAATGATTCTGCCAGCTTCCGAGATAGTAACAGTTGTCTGAAGAAAAAACACTCGGGATGAAAGCAAAAAACAAATGGGTACTAATGAAGTCTAGGTCAGTGGGCCTCACTCAAACTGAAATGTTTATGTTCAAAGAAAAGTTTTCATCATAAACTTAAATAGTTACAAAAGATAAAACTTCAAGCCCATCCTAAATATTGACATTAAAAACTAAAACTATTAATTCATTTCTTTAAATATAACCAGGGGGTAATCACAACACTTTAGCAAATTGATATGCACTATATGATCTCTTTTTTATATGATCCCTTTAAACAATGCACAAACAAGCTCTTCTTTCATAGATAATGATTTCATTAATTTTCCTTCTTGAACTTTTATTCCCACTCTACTTCCTCCATAGAATTTTACCCTGCTGTAATATATTTTGGTTTAAAATCAATTTATTGATCACTTCATTATACTTCCTGGCAACTATTTTAGTATATTAATTGAAATTAATTTTTAAACATGTTGTGTGACCCTAAGTTTTGAGTCATCACAATTATTTTTAGTACACGCTTGCTGAAAGTAATACATACATTACCCATGTTAATAATTACTAAATACAAAAAGTAAATTTAAAAAATTTAAATACAAAAGTAAGTACACCTTAATGAAATAAATGGGGCTATTTTGTTTTCAATTAGTTTATGTATCTAGTTTTGAGTGTTACTACTTTTGGAGCGAGATTGCATTCAGCATTAATTTTTTACTGCTTCTTTGAAAAAAATTTTTAAATTTGTAGATGCTAGTGTTGAGAAACCTTGTTCACATAAGCAGAGACGAATAGAAGGCATCTTTAGTGTCGTTTACACTCTAAATTCTCAGTTATATACAAGGATTGATTGACTGATACCTTGAGTGGTATTCATTCAATTTTATTGAAGGCAAATAATTAGATGATTTGTCATCTAGTTATTGAGTTATTCCCTTTCCCATTTTCTGAGAAGTATACTGAGAAGGCATGTCTTAACAAATAATTAGAAATTACACGTTACTCTTTTACTTAGAGGAAACCTGTTTACTATTATATACTCAAAAAGACGTAGAGCCCTGGCCGGTTGCTCACTGGTTAGAGTGTCAGCCCTCAGATTGAAGGGTAATGGGTTTGATTTCTGATCAAGGGTTCATACCTTGGTTGCAGGCTTGATCCCTGGCCCTGGTCAAGGTGTATGTGGGAAACAACCAATCAATGTGTCTCTCTCACTTCAGTGTTTCGCTCTCTTTCTCTGTCCCCCTCCTCCTACTCTTCATTATCTCTTAAAAAAAAAAAAAAAAAAAAAAAAAGCCCTGACCGGTTTGGCTCAGTGGATAGAGCGTCGGCCTTCAGAGTGAAGGGTCTTAGGTTCAGTTCTGATCAAGGGCATGTACCTTGGTTGCGGGCACATCCCCAGTGGGGGGTGTGCAAGAGATGTTTCTCTCTCATCGATGTTTCTAGCTCTCTATTCCTCTCTGTAAAAAAATCAATAAAAATAGATTTTAAAAAATTTTAAAAATCAATGGAAAAATATTCTTGGGTAAGGATTAAAAAAAAAGAACTTAGAAAATGGGAACATTAGTTTCAATAAATGTTTTCCAAAACAATCTTTTTTTTTTTTAAATAAAGAGCTTTTGTCACATACTTAAAATATATTTTAATCAAAATCTTAGAGCTGAAGATTAATTCATACAATTTTCAGCGTGTTTACTTTTTGGTAAAATCAGTCCTTGTTGTCAAGCCAAAAAGAAAAATTAGTTTACTTATAGTCAAAAGAAAATCTGACTCCTTTTCTGTTCAAATAAATGCATATATATTATTTGAGGAATATTATGAAAACTACTGATAAATTATGGAATGCATATTTTAGGATTATTATTGAAAGTAGACAAGGAAGTGTAAAAAGATTCAGGTCTAATATAGTTAATTATATCCAAGTAATAAAAATAATGCAATGAAATATGTAAGTTGTCTGTGAAGTGAGGAGTATAATTAAAAAACATGTTCCTTATTAAATATGTTCTCAAGTGTCTAGAACAGTGGTTGGCAAACTCATTAGTCAATAGAGCCAAATATCAACAGTACAATGATTGAAATTTCTTTTGAGAGCCACATTTTTTAAACTTAAACTATATTGGTAGGTATATTCAACTTTAAATTCAACTTTAAATTCACGGTTTTTGTCTTCCGTTTTTCTTTGCTTCTTCTTTGTAGCCATCTCAAACAGGGCACCTAAAAAAATGTTTCATTTTATAATAATAAAGCCACCAACAAAAAGAATTACAATTCTTAAATTGATGACAAAAATACCTGTAGGATTTGCAGCTGGTTGGAAAAATACAGGTAACTTTATGCTTCGAGTAGGCACTTTTGTCACCCATGCACGATTTGCGGACGTGACTAGCACTGACCACTGCACAATGAGACTGCTGACTGACTGGCTCACTCAACTCCTGCATGAATCGCGCGCCTCCCCCGCACTGTGTATCCCGTGCCCGCCTGCGCCACATCTCCTGTCCACTGACCGACACCCCCCACTTCTTCTAACGTCACTTCTTCAAAATAGACTCACCCAGGCCGAAAACCGACTTCTGCGCATGGGCCATGAAGTTTCAATCGCACTGTACATGATTCCGACTGGGAACCAGAGGAGCAGGAGCTGCAGGAGATGGAGAGGTACCTGCTCCTTCCCGGCCCTCAGCCTGAAGAGCCTTGCAACCAGGTGCTGCAGGCCACAGCCCTGGGCAGTGGGCATCCTGCTGCCCCTGCTGCATTCGCAGTGGCCCTTGCTTCCTCCCTTATCAGGGGCACAGGGGCAGGTGGTCAGCTCCTTTGTGATACGGGATTTTCGGACTGGAACATTCGGTGTTCTCCTGGGTAGGATGGCTTCCCTGGCTCTTTGTCCGTTGGAGTTGAGGAATGAAACCACGAAGGGAAGATGGTATAGCAAAGGTGGAAATTTATTGAAGAATAAGCACAGACTCCCACGTGGGGTGGGGGAAAGAGTCCCACTAAGTCCCTCCTTCCAGGTTTATAAAGGCCGCAAGTCCCTGTCTGCTGATACCCTCTCTGATTGGTCAATATTCCCTTTGATTTAGTCACTATAGCAACTCCTGAATTCAAGTCTCACTTAAGGTTCCCTTCTTCCTCTCCCTTATTGTTCTTCCATTCCCTCTGGGCTCTTCTTGCTCCCTCTCTGAATGAGGGGCTGCCTTCCCTTTATTGTGTAAATGTGTGCCTTTTGCTACTCCCAGCTTCCTTGTCTTATGGAAATATATCCTTTTGCAACTCTGTAGCCCTGTGTTTTTTCCATGGACCCCTTAATTTTTAAAATTTCCTAAACCTGCCTATTCCCCCCTAAAAATTCCTTTCACTTGGGAACACTGGTCTCTTGCTTTAGCCCAAGATGCTTCAACCACCCGTGTTGCTTCCATGCATGGCTTCTGCCATTGGTTCTCTCCCCCAGTTCCCTGAAACAACAGAAAAAAGCCATCCGTCCCAAGTCGATCCCGGGAAAGGATCTGGGGTGTTTATCTAAGGCGTTCCTTGAGATAAACTTTAACTGTGTAGGTGTGGGACATTCAAGTAAGTTGCTAGTGAAGAGGCTACTCTACATAAGCAGGACCAAGGGGGCAGGCTTAGAACCAAAAAAGAGACCAGAAGCTTTAATTTAACTTTTAAGTGTACGCAAAATAATTCAATTAACTGTTGGAGGAATTACAACACATGAAACATATGCAGTTGCAAATCACACAGCATTTTATTACTCACACAATTCCTGGTGCTGCGGGTACCAGGCTTAAGTGGGATTCCAGTGGTGCTGTCCTTGGGGATCTGGCAGTTAGGCTGGTCTGTCCGGATGCAGGGGGCCAGCGTTCCTCACCCGAGAACTCGATCGCATCTCAATCGGGTGTTACTAGCTGTTCTTCTGTTGTCTGGCAGAGAGAGGAGCGTGGAGTGGTGTCATTTGCCAGCTTGGCAAGAGGACGGGCCTTTGTGGCTGTCTCAACAGACGAGCATCAGGCTGGTTGAGAACCCCACTTTTAAAGCTTGCACCCCATTTGCAGTAGTCCAGGTGGCTATCAGTGAATTGCGTCAATGCACACATGTTTATCTCAAACAGGGCGAGGGGCTACAGGTGGTTATCTAGGGAGAGTACATCACTCATTCAGATGGTTACTTTGACAAGTCACTCTGAGTTTTTTACTGAAGTTCAAATCCTTATCTATGAGGGACACAAGCTTCAGGGCAGTGAGGAGTATGTTCTTAATATCACGCTTTAAGTTTTAAGGAAAGTTAGCTCAAACATTTAAAAACATTTCTTAGACATTTTTCAGGCATCCTCAAAGCATTTTTAAAGCATTTTTAAACATTTTTATATATTACTACACTATCCTGTTCCAGAACACTCAGAGGCAAATGGAGCCATGAGAGGCCCCGCACAGGACTGATGCGGGAAGCCAAGGAGCAGATCCGGTATTTACATGAAGAATTTCCAGTGTCTCGGTCAGTTCCCAGAATGGCTGAAGGCTTTGATGTTAGTACCAATGTGATCAGAAGGGTTTTAAAAAAGCAAGTTTATACCCACATTGGAGCAGAAACTGAAGCAGGATCAAAAAGTTCTTAAGAAAGCTGGGCTTGCCCACTCGCTCCGCCAGCTTCCAGGCCCTAGGGATACCTGGAAGCTGCTTTCTGCAGGCCACCCTGTGTCAGGAGATGAAGCCTCATCCCAAGGTCAAGTTCATAGCACAGCTTTGAAGGTGATAGAACTAAATACTCAGAATACAAACACTCCGAGGAGACAGAAGGGAAGGAATAAAGGAGTCCAGAGCCCAGAGAAGGAAAGCTTTGTGCCTGTTGCTTCAGCCCAAGGTCATCAGAGAGAGCGGCAGAAGTACTCCACCAGTGATTGTGAGGGCATCAGAGGCACTGACAGTGATGGATTGCCAAGTGCAAAGAAGCTGGAAGAGTTGACGGCAAAAGAACTGGGTGGCCAGAACTTCAGCAGCAGGTAGTGCAGAGGGGGCGTGAGTTCTTTGATGACAATGAGAACTTCCTGTACAGCACTTGAACTGGAGCCTGGCTTGTGGAGATGTCATGTAAAACATAGCTGAGTGAGTATATTTGAGCTGCCTGGATTTCTGTGTATGGATTATCCACCTTGGAAAATGATGAGCCTGAAAATGGAAATAGCTGCTTGGATTTCAATCTGACAAGAGACAGTGAACTTCACAGGGCAGATGTGTATGGGGGCAGCATGAATAACTGGCTAGGTATAGTCTAGCTTCTGGAGCATGGCTCCTGGTCTGAGCCATGTGAATATTCAGTACTCACCCTTTTTGCTTAGGCCAGTGGTTCTCAAACTTCCTAATGCCGCGACCCTTTAATACAGTTCTTCATGTTATGGTGACCCCCAATTTCATTGTTACAAATTGAACATAACTAAAGCATAGTGATTAATCACAAAAACAATATGTAATTATATGTGTGTTTTCCGATGGTCTTAGGAGAACCCTGTGAGAGGGTCATTCGACCCCCAAAGGGGTCGCAACCCATAGGTTGAGAACCGCTGGTTTAGGCTTTCTATGTGTTGAAACCAGCCTGTGTCGCATGTGTTAAGAGTTTGTTGTGCCAAAACCGGTTTGGCTCAGTAGATAGAGCGTCGGCCTGCAGACTGAGAGATCCCGGGTTCGGTTCCGGTCAAGGGCATGCACCAGGGTTGCGGGCACATCCCCAGTGGGGGGTGTGCAGGAGGCGGCTGATCGATGTTTCTCTACCATCAATGTTTCTAACTATCTCTCTCCCTTCCTCTCTGTAAAAAAAAAATCAATAAAATATATTTAAAAAAAAAAAGAGTTTGTTGTACTTGCAATATGTGTTTGGGAGGAATTGAAAAGTTTTCCTTCTGACATCATTTACTTCTTGATTAATGAACACTAACAGTTCTGGAGCTGTTTAGTTAATTGGTTGTATTCATTATGTGCAAAATAAAGCGAAATGTAGCAAAAAATAAAATAAATAAGTATAGGACCTAGGCAAGTGTGTAGATTTGGATGACAAGGGGGCTGCCTTGAAATCTAGGACAAAGTTTCCCTCCACTGGGCACCTCTATGACTGGAGGCTTATCTCACCCAGGTGAGGTGTAATGCACCGTCGTAAGGCCCTATGGTGGAGTGGGGTAGGGAAAAAAGGCTGTGGGAAAGATAGGACCCATAGCTAGGCAGGTTTGCTCTCAGGCAGGTAGGTGCTTGTTAGGAGAGTACACTTAGAAATGGAGATCTGAGCATCAGTCCCTTTAACGCTACTTGTGCTCTGTTCCCTTTGGAGAATCTCTATGTATCTGTGATCACTTCATTTGATTTAGGCCACACATCTGGATGACAAGCAAAATAGTCCACCATCTACCTGCATCCCATTTTCTAGATGTTTGGTTTCTTATGGACATAATCTGAATCTAACCTGGCCCTGTTTTTAAAAAATAGTCAATGTGAAATATTTCAGATATATACAACAAATCTTGAGCTATCGCCCATCTTCAATAATCAAGAACACATGGATACTTTGTATGTGCACCCTTCATCCAGCCTTCCCACTGGGTAATGTTGAAGCAAATTCTAGACATCATATATCATTTCACTTCTAAATAATTCTTATGTATTGTATAATTTTAAAAACATGTAACAATACTATTATCTCACCTAAAAATTTTTAATATCAAATATAGCCAATCAGCAATCAAGTTTCCCCAACTGTGTCATAATTAAAAAAAAATAGTTGACTTGAAATTGAATCCAAATATGATCTACATATTCCATTTGGTTATTATATCTCTTTGTTATTTAATCTATACATTTCCCCTCTTTTTTTCCCCTGAAAATGTTCGGGCGCCAGATGTTGGGGTCCAACCCCAACAGGTCCAGGGGTCCCCAAAGGTGTGGACGGAGTCGGTGAAGAAGGAATGACACAGAGGCAGCGTTCAGGTGATCATCATAGCCGGGTTCTCTTGTCAGGGTCTCCAGCCAGGTTCTGTAGCCAGTTCTCCAGCAAAGTTTTGGTTAGGATCTCCAGCCAGGTTCTGTGTCCATGTTCTCTTGTGCCCCGACCCGTGGGACAACAACGGGGGAACGAAGAGACACCCTAGGAGAATGAGACAAACAAGGGACACGAAAGAATGGAGGCAAGACAGTGCTCTGATCAAGCCTCAAATTTTATTCTCACAGCGGCAGGATATATACTGTTTTAGGGATGGGGGGTGGGTGGGTAAAGGGGTCTATGGGCAGTAACCTATTACTAGAGATTTATTAGGCTCAGGATGGCTGTGCTTATCAGTGGAGATGTGTGCTTGTCAGCGGAGATTTAGCAGCTGTGTACTTAGGGTGAGGGTAGGTTATCTTTTAACTGCTGGCCAAATTGCAAGACACAGGTGGTTTCTGGTAATTAGGAGTTTCTGGAGGAACCAGAAACTTATAGTTCTTAAGATGGCTTTGTCTAAGCCAATATCTCTAATGGCTCCCAACACTCTTGCTAGGTTCTCCAGCCAGGTTCCCCAGGTTCCCCAGCCAGGTTCGGTCACCAGATTCTGTAGCCAGGTTCTTCAGCCAGGTTCTGGCTAGGTTCTCCAACCAAGTTCTGTAGCCAGGTCCTGTCCAGGATCTTTTGCCAGGTTCAGTCACCAGGTTCTAGTCAGGTTCTCTTGCCATGTTCTATCCAGGGTCTGAGTCCAGTTTCTGTCCAGGATCTTTTGCCATGTTCTCTCCAGCGAAGTTCTTCTGTCTCTAGGTTCTGTGTAGGTTCTATGTCTAGGTTCTGTGTTCTGTTGTCTTGTTACATCTGTATTTATACCAGTTGATTCAATCCTATCAATCTCTATTACAAAGGTTAGGGCGTTTCTTATCTCCATTCCAGGGAGTAAAGATTATGTAGCTTAAGCATGATTGTTCGTAGTTAAAGTGATTAATTACCCGCCTGGCACTTAGTTAAGGGGTTTTATTCCCTCCCTAACTTCAGGGGAAAATCCCTACCTGGGGAAACAACCTTTCTCAGAGAGGTGACCTTGGTTAAAACACATAGGGGAAAATCCCTACCTGGGGAAACAACCTTTCTCAGAGAGGTGACCTTGGTTAAAACACATAGTGCCAAGAGGGTGAGCAAACATATTAAGAACAGTATGCCATATATGCCAGGTCCCTTGAAACAGCAAGGATGGACCGGCTCCCAGCAGTTTTTGTTGAAGAAATGGATTATTTTTCTGATTTCACTCACATCATGTTATTAAAATATACCTTGTTTCATGTATTTTCTGTAACCTGACATTCCAAAAACGTCATCAGACTCAGGTTAAATATTTTGGCAAAAATATGTAATGGGTGGTATTGTATATGTCCATCCAGCGCATCATACCTGGTGGCTCCTCTTTTTGAGCTATGAATGAAAATTGCTGGTCACCACCTGAGTGCATTATTTCACCAGGGACTCACAAACCAGTGACATCCTAATTCTTATATTTCTTCCTTTTCCTAACTGGAATACATCTGTAGAGAGAAACTTTCCTTCACTGACTATTTGGTGACACAGAAGTACAGTTTTTAAAGGAGAGTGCTCAGGTCTTTAAAACATGAATTAAAAATTAATGAATTTCCAATTGTTATTCTTTTAAAATCTCATTTTAGTCCTCTCATAGATTCATCCTAAGATGAAGGATTGTTTCTCTTCAAGGAATCTGGAAATTAAATGATTTCTGGTCCTTAGTTTATTTTTATTATATTTTTTTACTTTGTCATATTTTTTAAAATTAACTTTATTGGAGTGACATTGGTCAACATGAACATAAAGGTTTCAGATGTGGGTTTCTATGTTACAAGATCTGTATATTGCACCATGT